CCTCCCCCTGTTCCTACTCCAGTGGTCCGAAAGAGTCAGGAAGCCTATTTACATACCATTTAGGCTTCTCCATGCAAACACCAGCTTGAACTGAAAAGCTGTGTCAACATTTTATTGGCCTGTTGAAAGTGATGGTGAATTGCCTTCTTGATATGCAACAATACTTTGAGTTTAGAGACATCCACCAGTGCTGTTAAGAAGGAACCTCCAGGATTTTGACCCAGAGACAGTGAGGGAACGGAGATATAATTCCAAGTTAGTAACCTGCAGAGAATAGATAGTGGTGTTCCCATGCATCTGTTGCCTTTGATTTCTTCATGGTAGAAGTTGTAGATTTGTAAGGTGGTGTTGAAATAGCTGTGCTGAGATACTGCAGTGTACTTTGTAGACAGTACAAACTGCTACCCCCATGTATCAATGGCGAAAGGAGTGAACATTGAACTTTATGTTCAGGGTGGCATTCAAATAGGCTGCTTTGTCCTCAATGTGTATTTTGGAGCTGTATGTATTGATGTAAGTTTGAGAGTATTCCACAACATTCCTGACTTTTGCCTTGTAGATGGGGATGCAGGCGCTGTGGAGATAAGAGGTAAGATACACTCTGCAGAATTCCTAACTCCTGACCTAGTCTTGTAGTCACAATTTTTATTTAGCTGGTCTAGTTCAGTTTCCAGTTATTGTTGATCTTCAGGATGTTGATGGTTGTGATTCGGTTGTGGTAACGGTTTGCCCTAGAGCTGGGCCAATAAACAATCCTGGTTGCCGATTCCTGTCTGTGTGGGGAAGATGGTGGTGTAGTGGTAATATCATTGGGCTGGTAATCCAGAAGTCCATACAAGCATAATGCTAAGGGGATGTGTGTTCAAATCCCATCATGGCAGTTAAATAAGTAAGGAATTGAAAACTAATCTCAGTATTTGTGACCACATTCACTATCATTGATTGTTGTAAAAAACTCATCTGGTTCACTGAGAGTTTTTAAAGGAGGGAGCTCTGTCATCCTTACATAGTCTGGCTGACATGTACCTCCAGATCAACACCAATGTGGTTGATGCTTATCTGCCCTCTGAAATGGCTGAACAATCCACTTAGTCCGAGGGCTATTCAGGATGAGTAACAGCTGGTCTTCCAGCAATGCTCAGTTTAAATAAAAGAATAAAGGAAAAAGAAATACTGCAAATGTTTTGGGACTTTGACTCTTACCTAGCCGGATCAATTAGCTTGCCAGGAAACCCGAAGACCAGGGCCACCTGCAGGATGAATCCACTGCAGTCTGGTCAGTACATTTCTGAATGTAACTGTGGGGAGCAATGGTAAAACAAGGCCCATAGACCCAATTGGGGAGCATTAGGTTTGTCTTGACCTCACTGCCGTCCTGTTCTGTGACTAACATTGCAAATTGGCTCCTGTTTATGTCACTGGGCCCCACCCTGCAGATTTGCATAACACGTTTCTCGCTAAGGGCATGTTGTTCTGCTTGCCTGATAAGAGGTCTCAGGAGAACAGATTTACATTAGGAAAGTAGCATTCTTAAATGAGTAAATTGTTTCCTTCATTTTAAAAGATATCTGCCCATACCCCACACATGGTCAGCTTTGTAATTGATCGTGGGAAGTTAAAAATCAGTGCTTCTGTTCGTACAAAATTGACTAATATTACAAGAACATTAAAATATGTTTTAACTATTGTACAAAAAGTAAATTTTGTCATTGTTTCATCGCATTCAAATTTTGAATGCGGTTGTGTACAATCATCAAATTAACAGTGGATTGTGTGCGAGAATATACTCTTCACTAAATTTGTTGTAGTCTGGTGCATTTTTAAAATACAGAAGACTTTAATAAGAGAACATGATCTGAAAGTAACCCCAATGAGAAAACAAATGAAATCCCTGTCTATAACAGTAATTTGCATGAAGTCTTGCATTAAGCTGAAACTGTGATTACAGGACAACCTGGCTGTTAATTGCCTGCAGTCTTTAAATATGCACTTTTTTGGAAGTAGATGATAATTAATAGGTCTCGTTTGCTGTTAAGCTCCAAATTGCAAATGTCTTGATACTGTATGTTGAAGAATTTGCAAGTCTAATTGTGTTCCAGCAGGAGCAAAATTGATATAATCATTCAGTATGAGTTCTGTGTGCAGATTTGAATAAAACATTTAGTCATCATTAAACTTACTTCTTTTCCCTTGGAGTGAAAGGTTTTGTGTAGGAAATTAACCAAAGTGAACTGTTCATTAATATGGCTTTCCAACCTTCTTTTTGTTATAATTATATGTACCTACATGTGAGAGATAACAACCTTGCTGTAGAAAATACAAACCAATTGTGGAATTTTTAAGCACACCTACACTTTCTGTTTTGCTTAAATTGTCACTATTTTAGGATGACACAATGCCAACTGTTGATCAAGCGGAATTGTTTAAAGGCTTGTTAAACTTCTAAATAAATGACCGTAATTTAACTGCAATGAAATACTGATATTAGAATGGAAAGAAAATACCTAAAGAACACTATCTCATTCTGAACGATGTTATTGCCATATTTTGGATAGCTAGGGTATTTGTTTCTTTTTACTGTTTCCACTGACAGGTTGGCAGCCAGAAGACACAGATTTAAGATGTCCAACAAAAGAATTGGAGATAACATAGGGAAGTATTTTGAGGGATAGTAGGAACTGCAGATGCTGGAGAATCTGAGATAACAAGGTGTAGAGCTGGATGAACACAGCAGGCCAAGCAGCATCAGAGGAGCAGGAAGGCTGA